GAAACCGCTGTCCACTGCTTCCCAGCTTTTCAGCTCACACCACATTTACAAGACAAATTCAACATCTAATCAAATCTAATATTCCATCTTCCCATATAATCTGATTTGTCGAGCTGCCGCTCCAATTTCACAATTAGATTCGAGACAATACTGAGTAGCTTTCTTTACTTGCAAATAAAATTTTCTATACCTCCTGAATGATAATAAAACGATTTTCCACCAATGTCTTGTAAATCCACATGTGAGGGAGACATCATCCTGATTGATTCATAATATTCATTTTGAATTTCCATCCCTTCCCGGGTAGCATTGAACATTTGTCGGCTAAAATACAGACATAGAGGCCTGAAAATGAAAACCGCAATACAATACAGCCAGCTGCTCAATAACCGGAAGTAATATCGGATGCACCGACCTGTTTACCGTCAAGCCAANNNCAATGCAATGTGCCTTCACCGGAACGTTTGCCATCTTTCCATTGTCCCTCGTAAATCGCACCTTCCGCATACTGATAGGTCCCGAATCCGTGACGTAATCCATTACACCACTGGCCATCGTAAAAGCACGTCCCATCCGATCGATAGTTCATTCGACCCTAACATTGGAGAGAGAGAGAGAGGGATTCCCAAGCGCGGCATAGTAAATTCGGAGAAGGAGTGCGTACCAAGTGGATTATTTATGAAATTTAATTTGTCTGAGTTTCTACAACCATTATTTACTCACTTCCGTGTGCCGTCATGACTATGCCTTTGGGTGATGGAGTGAAGAGAAGAATGGTGTTTATGCAGTGTGGAAGTATCCGTAGACATCTGTTCAGACAATGAACACTTTTCGTATTCGAATTCACTGCCTCCAGACATCTACTTGATTCACAATCTATATCCTTAGTATCATTCTCAACTCTCATTTCATTCGCCTGTTCTTTTCTCAATAGCTGACCAGGTGGATAGCCAAAGGAACGCAACCAAAAGTGAAGCACTGAGATGCATGTTTGGCGTTTGCTCGAAATGAAACTGATATATGTTCGAGAGACTATGGCCGGGTCAATTTGAGAAAGTTTGGCATTATTCACCTTTTAGAGGGTTTCGTTGAACTTCATTAGCCATGCGGTTCAACAGAACCACTTTTCATCTCAGTTCAGGGTAGGGGTTGTTCTTCTCGTTCTGGACGAACCTTCGACCTATTGCCGGGTGACGGTGTGATTTTTCTCATCGAATCTTTTGATCGGATCAACAAGCACACGAAATCCTCTTCGATGTGTCCGTTCAACAGGTTGTTTCAATAATGCTCAACCTTGAGAAATTCTCTGTTGATGATGTTCTCTAATTGGAGTTCGCGTCCACACACTACATCGTGGATTTTCAATGAGGTTATCCGATTCATTCTCTCCCTCCCTCGAGTATTTTTCAAGTTATATACACAGAACTGTACGGCATAACAATGCTCTCTTGGAAAATGTGGACAGCAAACGAATGGAATTCCGACAAATTATCCGTTTTGTAAGAAAGTAGACCGAAACCTCGTAAATATCCGTTCGACAAAATCTCATGGTACACTCTAAATTGGATTCCTCGAAGTCAAGCGTAAAACTTGTGTGCTGGTAGTCTTGTACCTTCAGTTTAGTATAGCAAGTCCCAATGTTGATGGTTAGCATTCGATAGACTCGCGCACGTGACACCGTACAGACAGCAAGCGATCTTGAAGTTGGAGCAGAGACGTCCACATAGGTTGACAAAACACGTGGTTAATTATTACTGGGTATGAGGTAACCGTTTCAGGTGAAACAATGCATCGAACACCCCCAACATTACCAAGGAAAAGAAACAGAATGCGCGTAGTTGTAGCAACCTCACACACACACACACACACACACACAAACACAGAACTTCCATTTATTTTAGGCAGAAACCCGATCAACATACATAAGCGATAACAATGTTACCATGTGTGTTATTTATTAACGCATTGATCGGATTGTTCAATCAGCTTGAAGCGCAAGACTCGGATGCGCATGTTCAAACTTTGGAGCAACAACATTTACTGGCAGACATAAACTGATCATACGGAACCCATTATTATGTATGATAATATCGCAATTCATATGGGGTCATTATTTAATAGCATTAAAACGATGTTTCGACTTGCATACAGCTCAGTTCAGTTTCAACAACCATTAACCATACACTTTCATGCGCTGGTTTTGGTTACTGCCTTTGGGTACACATTTGGATGAACAGGAAGAGAAAGACAGGAAAGTTGAAAGTTGAGTCGAAGAGAAAAAGGGAGAATTTCAGTGAACGAAGATTGCATAAAACTGATGTTAAATAAAGTGGTATAAAAGAACGAGATTCCTAGAGATTGTAAAATTTTTATTTTACTAAAAATTGGGATTGGTCGATAACTTTTCGCTTCAATAAAAAAATTCACTGAAACCGTTTTAATAAAAATTTCCCATTGAATATTGTTCAAATTTTTAAAAACCTTAAACAGTGTTAGAGCGTAAGAAAACAAAAAAGGTGACGATTGGACCTGAAAACTCATACAGTGTACATTTGGAATGGATTGAGGTCAGCCGTCATCAGGAGAGCGTGTCAGCGTTTTCTCGTTGGTCCTGGATACTTAGTTATCAGTGCAATCTCTCCATTGGCTCCCTCTTAACCTCGAATTCAGATAAATGACTAGACTATGATAATTTCCATCCATACCGCATATTTCTCCCGTTTTCAGTCCACGTTTGCCTGGAACTACCGCTAAAGACTTGCATCGTTCGTAACAATCTTCATTGCCGGGATCGCTAGGATGCGCTTCGTGGGACCAGGTTCGGTGACACCTTTGGAGAGACACAACACGATTGTAAAACATTGCTGTCATGCGGTGAATTATTTCCTGCGACCCTTTTTCTCTTTGTTCTGTTGTTTTGTGAGCCACTGGTGATGAGCAGCGGTTAGTGTGCGCCTTGTAGCTTTCTTCGGAGTTTCTATCCTGTGCAATCTATCAAACCGGAAAAATGAAATGCTTGGAAAGCCAAGTGGGCCGTACAGCACGCGGATGCATCAATTATTCCACGGCACAAGCACCAGCTGCTGCTGATATTTGTGTATCCCTCTGATTTTCAGGTGATTAATAAATATCCCAAAAATAAAGTTAAGCCTCTTGGTCTTCCTTTCATGTGGCACTGATTGTCCAAACTTGCTACGCAATCGAAGCACGTTTCATGCACAATCCTATCCATATCAGTGTGGTTTGAGTGCTAGTGCAGGCACGTTCGGTATGCGTTTTGCACCTTCAAAATGTAAAATGCTGCTCCAAGATTGAGCTGACCCGTTCACCAACCTCGCCCTAACCGGAGCAGTAGTAGAGGAAGCAGACAAATTTTGCTATCTGGGCAGCTATATCTCACGTGGCGGACGCATCGCAGACGAAATGTCGGCACACATACAAAAGGCTGGATTGGCATTTACCAACTTGAGAAATTTGTGGTGCCGTTGCAACATCCGGCTGTCTGTGAAGGGTCGAGTATATGTTGAAGCAGTTCGACCAGTTCTACTTTACGGTGAAAATACTTGACCATTAATGAAAAAGCATAAAAATAGATTGTCGATGTTCGAACACCTCTGTATACGACGCATCGCACGAGTCTGGGGGGGGGGGGTAACCGGACGAGCAATGTTGAGGTTAGGCGTAGAATTTTAGGTAATCGCGGTCGTCCACCGGAGCAAGTAGTGGACCATCATAGATTACGCTGGTTGGGACATGTGCTACGCATGTCACCAGATAGTTTACCACGGTGAGCGATGTTTACCGAGGTAGGTAGTGAGTGGAAAAATGTCAAGAGTGGTCAAACTAAGACCTGGAATGAAGGTATGAAAACCCTGACTAGGCGACTGGCTCACATAGGTTCCGTTAGGCTCCCTGGATGGGGACTCCGAAATCATAGTCACCGATGGTTAGAAACACTGAGCGATATGGCTAGGTTTCGCAAACCGTAGCGCTCTCGCATCAACTCATTATTCTTGTAACGTCTATGTAAATGCGCTACCTTCCGCTTGAATCTGCTCTCAACATTCTAATCATCACTCTGCTGTTTTATCCAAATGGGCAACCAAAAAGTAGCAACCAAAGCCGGTGCACGAAAGTGCATGGCTTTTGCTTGTAAGAACAAAACAGAACAGAGCAAGTTTCAGAAATCGAGATTAAGTACATTTGGACGTTGGCTGCTCGGACACGCCTAGTAATGACGCTAATACACCTGACAACACCGGTATTCTGAACCAAGTACAAGTTTCAATCCTCTCACTGGTACTTTGTGACTATAATCCTCCACACACAAGATGGGCATTTCTGAAAGGTGAATGAATGATTCTCACTGCGTGAAAATTGGCCTTACCAGTCTGTTGAATTTGTATTCCGATTGCGTAATACGGTCCAACGTAAATCCAGTATTCTTCTGTTGTTCGTTTAAACCTTCTTCCTGTTTTAAAGAAGTGTTTTGTACAAGTTGACCGGCGTGATAATGTGTGGAATGTTAATGCGATCCGGAAACGGATCAAATTAAGCTCTTGCGCACACTGCAGAGATGTTCTCTTGTCTTCCTACGAGGGCTGAGCAAAAGGTTTCCGGATGCATTTGACGATTTATTCGCCACACAAATATAAGCATCACATTTTCTCGAAGCAATCTGTATCAGCGTTCATGCACAGTTCCATGCGCTCAAACAACTTGATGAACCAGCTCGACCATGCCCAGGCGGATAACCCTTCTACCAGTTCAATGAAGGCCTTCGCTGCAGGTGTCGGTGACTCATATCGGATTCAACGCATCATGCGTCATAAATGTGGGAACGCAAAAATGTTACACACAGTCAGTTCTGGACTGTAGGTTGAGTAAGCATCATCCTGGGTCTGTTCTCTAGCCAGAAACTCGCCAATGGCATGGGACTGGTATGTAAATACGTTGTCATAGTACAGCAAGATCCTTCGTGCTCAAGTCCTTGGACAACGCCTGGCAACAGCTTCCAAAATTTTCGGTGGACATTGGGTAGCTTACCAGGCTCCAGGGACAGTGCTCTCCTTTACGAGCGGTACAGGAGGCAAATGACCGGTTCTAGCCATAAACACGCTAACTATCTACTTTGCCACACTGCACTCGCGTCGGAATTTCTGAGGCGTCCATTGAGCCAATTGTTGCTTGGTCTCTGTGTCCAAACTGTACACCCAGGTTTCGTCACCACTGATGTTCTCCCAAACTGCATTTGAACGTCCACCAATTCAACCGCATTACTTTCCAATCCTCACTGATTTTATGGGGTACCTGGCATGCGCAAACCTTTCTAAGACCGAGCTTCTCATGTAGGATAGCGCGGATTGATCTCGGTGAGATCCCGATCGTTTTCACCAGCTGCGCCATTGTCACCCGTGCATCCTCCACCAACATTGCTTGCACAGCAACAATTGTGTAATCTATGGCGACCTACACAGTCGGCCACATCATGTCTCATCATCCAGGAACCGCCTACCACGCTTGAATTCCTCAAAGCAGACAAACACATTGCTTCATGAAGGCGTATCATCAACAAAGGCAGCTAGCAAATGATCAACACTCGGCTGCTGCTGCTGCTGCGGCTTTAAATCACATTTGTAGTGGTAGAAAATCGTCGCCGTTCAGTGACATCGACTGGGTTTCTTCCTTACATTCTGAGTACAATCATCCATATGAATTTTGCGTTACCCTTCGCTGTTGATATTCGGTTCTTTGAATTGCAATCGCTGTACGATATTCACAATAGGTTACAGTTGATGTTTTCCTTGCCCGATCATCTACACCTGCGTATCTGGAAACCCTTGACTTAGTTCTCGTAGATGGATTAAACTCCCACAACTCAACAGAAGTGCACGTTACAAAGTCTTTTAAACATTGAATATCATATAACATAGTTATGGATCATTTTCAAGGAAAGATAGCTGTGACAAAGGTCTTGCTGCATGCGCTTCAACGATTACGACTACAATGTATCAAAACTGGAGTACGATAAAGTTTGCAATGCTTTTCTCCTATGAGCATATCACACATCAATTCATTTTGGTGAACGCTTTAAGCTTGCGACTCGTGGGACTAAATGGGAAACAAACAGTACTACAAGTGAATGATTGCAAGTCTAATTGTGCTGGAAGCAAGCAGAAATCGAATCGACTTACTTTTCCATGCATCTTCCCATTTTTCCACTCCCCTGTATAAGTCAAACCAGACAGATGTGTATAACTCCCAGTGCCATGACGAATTCCTCGGACAACGTCTCCTTCATAATAACTCCCATCTGGCCAGTCAATACGTCCTTGACCTGTGGGCTCATTGTGCAGAAAATCACCGGTGTAACAAATACCGGTCTCAGCCCAGGTGAATTTTCCTTTTCCATGAAGCCATCCGTTGATTACGTCCCCCTATAAGAAGTAGGAAGCATAGAGAGTATATAGACGAATCGTTCCGTTTCACTTTACTTGCTGTCTATTAGCTGTATAATAAAAAATATAAATAATAAGTAGTATATATATACCATGATAAATACTTTAAGGAAGGGTTACAGCTTGTCGAACGCTGGCAGATGGTGTGGAGTTCTAATAAACAAACTGCGATATAACCACCATAACCGCGCCTATTTGATTCAAATTTTCATATGATAAATATAATGGTTTTTGCAATATAAATTTATCTAGATCGCGTGATTGTTTCGTATTACGACACTGGCAAATTGTTACCGTACGACCAAGAGTCTCAAACAGCCTCTGCTGATGAAGTCCTACTCACAGCCTTCTCGTGGCGGCCGTGTTTTACCACCAAAAGGAGAGGATGAAAAGCCGATATCAGTATCTTTAACCGGTTTGGTGGACCACTGGTAGTTCACCTAGGAGAGTTGGCCCAAGACCCTGATTTCAAACCAACCAAGAGGAAGCGTACGAACCAAACACCTCCCCGTTTGTGGCAATGGTCACCGGCTCGATTCGGGCATCGAGGTGTATTGGGCACCTTGGACGTTTGACTCCGTCCTAAGGGCGTATGATACGAGGAACTGGATATCGGCTTCCAATGGACTGCAGTTTTCACATATGTGCCTTACGGGTTAGGCTTTCGCTTATCGAAGGCTCTTGTTGTGGATTCTTCAAAATACGCAACCTGTTTTGGCCTAGGCAACCTGGCAGTACTCAACCCACATGAAAATCCGGGAACGCTTCTCTTTTTTATTGTACTATATTTTGTTTGGCACGCAGTCTGTTCTCAGATGTATGTGAAATATAAATAATAGTGTTTCCATAGTCAAGTTTTCTTTTGGAGAAATAAGCAAACAGGAAACGACAAGCAATATGCGCGGATTACAGTCCGTTTGCGTAACGCAAAGGGGACCAGTATACCATAGGAAGAGTAAAACACTGACACTTCTCCTTGCTGGTTCGCACCGTATATTGGCCTGTTTCGCTGATCAAAAACACAGTGATAGCAATTCCGTTCATTTCACATCACCCATTGATTGACACTGGAAAATGATCACTTGCAAGTACTCGTCAACTCCATACAACCGTTAAAATTGCTACCCTTGAATGATCACTAATGGTGTCAAGTTTGACCGCAACAAAAAAATTAGGCCACAAATATAGAGTTCGACGAAACAAAACTTATTTTATTCAGTTGACTAAATAATTAGAACCTATGCAGCTGGAAATTGAACACACGTGTGAAATATATATTTATTCGTCAAAATAATCTCATTTGAAACAACGAGTAAATTTGTATGGACAGCTCTTTCAGGACCATTCCATTGATGAATCAACACTATGATAGAACGTTTATGCTAATCATATCCGAAAGTTGTATCAAGATGCAAGACAAGTATTAGAGACGTCCTCGGTTAGTAAGATGAATAAAACTGACAATGAGATATTTGTGGCCTCGTCGCGTTTTCTGGTTGTCTGTGAAGGGTTGAGTGTATGCCGCTGCAGTTCGGCCAGTTCTGCTATAATGCACTGAAACTTGGCCATTAAGAAAACAGAACGAAGATAGACTGTCGGTGTTTGAACACCGCTGTCTACGCAGCATTGCACGAATCTGGTGGGATAGCCGGATGAGCAATGCTGAGGTTATGGGCAGAGTTTTGGGTAAATACGGTCACCCACTGGAGCACCGGACGAATAATACTGAGGTTAGGAGCAGAGTTTTGGGTATCCGCCGTCGCCCACTGGAGCAAGTGGTCGATCTCCATCAATTACGTTAGTTGGGGCATATGTTACGCATGTCACCAGATAGGTTGCCATTTTATGTTTGACTCTACCATCAACTTTCCTGTCTTCTCCTATTATTCATCCAAATGGACAGCCAAGAGACAGAAACCGAAACCGGGGTAGGAAAGTGCATGATTAATGGTTGTTCAAACTGAAACTGACAATGAGGTTGCTCGAAGTCTCTCACAGATTACGCTGAGAATGTGTACGGAGTTTGACAAGCTACCACGTTGGGTATTGAACAGACTTCAATAGGGCAAAATCTCAGTGGCGGGGCAAATAGTTTTATGCACTTTCTCTGGCATAAATATGATAGGATAAAATTTCTCATTTCAGCTTGTTTGTTTGCTTGCCATTTGAATCTTCAAAACCGATGATTATGATATATGTATAGGTGCAGAGTTCATTCGAAAATGTAGAGGAATGCCATACTTTTACCGCATGAGGACAGCTGATTTTAGACACTGTCACATTTTTCAATCTCAAAATCCACCGGAATCTGTTGTGATTGGTGATCGAGGGGAACGAGAAATAAGTCAAATCAACAAGGATATAAAATTGGTTTTGAAATTATCAGCAACTGGTTTTTGATGTAATAACTCGTCCTCTCCTTTATTCACGTTCTTCAGTTGTTGCTCAGATCTTCATCAAATGATTGCAACAAATGATTTATGTTTGGTTGCCAGCCTGCAGACCTCATTTGTCTCCGAATCATCAAAGAACAGCCATTCTGGTGAGTTGCGCGCGCACTCACACACACGATATATACATTTATATTCCTCACGATAACCTCAGTTGCAATACCAGATAAATTTGTAAATTATTCTATAAAGTAACATTTGTTCCGGTGAATTGCATTTAAACCACCTACAAAACATCGACGGTTAGTATTGATTCATCAATGAACTGTTTCTGAAACAGCTATCTAAGCACATTTACTCGGTGTTGCAAATATGATTATTGTGACAAAAATACACTTCCTGAGAACAAGTATATGAATACAAAGACAAAAGACTACCGGATACGCATGTCTGAAGAGCGGCTAGAACCACAAAACCAGTCGAGTGATTTCAGGGACATTTGGTCGAGCCATTCATATACTACTTATTGTAATGTGCACATATATATGATTTCAATCTATTCTGTAGAACCATAAACCATGCACTTTCGTGCGCCGGTTTTGGTTGCTGTCTTTTGGTTGCTCATTTGGATAAACAGTAGGAGAAAGATAGAAAAGGTGAAAGTAGAGTCGAAGAAAAAATGGAGAATCTCAGTGGACTAAGTTTGCAAATAAATTGAGAAGATGCATGAACCCCACTGTTTACGACACCCAGTCGTATCAATCATCGTCTCCAACCACCGGTTACCACGATCCCAAGGTTCCCAGCCAGGGAGCCTAACGGGGCCTATGTGACCCAGTCTCCTGGTCAGCGTTTGCATACTCTGGCTTTCTCCCCCTCCCCCGCCAATTACCTGCTTCTGCAAACATCGCGCGCAGAGGCAACCTATTTGATGCCATGCGTAACGGATGCCCCAAACAACGTAATCTATGATGGTCAACCAGTTGTCCCAGTTTGCGCCTGTGGTTACTTAAATTGATATGCTTCAGCATTGCTTCTCCGGTTGCTCCACCCGATTTGTACAACGCTGCGTGGACAGAGGCGTTTAAACACTGGCTTGAACAAACATAACACGATTTAGCAGTCCTATAACCAGCATTCGTAGCACCTATCCCAGCCATTGAGTTAGTTGGAGAGTGATTGTGATGCAAGCGACCAAATTCGTAGTTGGTGATTTGCTATTGCCAACTTATTCTCACTGGCAACACTGATCAAGGACACTTAGTTTCCGTTCGCATTCTGCGTAAACAGTTCAACTCTGGCATTCACAAAAGAAGGATGCACATATCGTATTATTCAAGACTCGACCTTTCAAGGAAGGAAGATTGAGATTGATCGCGTCCGCACCACAAGTTACGTGAGTCAGCAAAATTCATCCGGACAGTGCGAATGCACGTTGATATTTTCTCTATCAGTCCTCTTGAGCTGAGTTAATCCACAAAATAAGCTAGGTAACTGAAAATTTCCAACTGGCTGCTCAATAGTGTAAATATTGTTGTAGCTTGCGAAGAGTATTAAATTAAGAACTTATATTTCCATGGAGCGAAGTTCATTCCGATCTATGAAGAACAACGCTAACTTGCACAGTATGTTTTGGGCGTCTTGAAAGGATTCGCCACTGGCTTATTCCGAATCATGAAATCAATCACTTAGGGAAAGCTCCACACCAAAAGCCCGCAGTTTTCCTGAGTGCTGCTATGTATTGTGCTCATTAGGAAATTCAACAGGAAGGATGAAACCTGGCAACTTCGTTCAACTTCGCTTGGAATGGAGGTGAAATTCGGTCGTAAACCTAGACTTGGCCTGGTAATTTTAGTAGACCGCTTTGAAAAGCATTATGTACTTCTCAGACGTACCGCTTCCCAACAGATAAGTCCAGAGCGCAGCTCTTCCGTCTGAGTCAAACACACTAAGTATGTCCAAAACGAGCAAAATAATTGGCGTACGCTTGGCTTTGCTCGAGGATCTGATATCGAGTTAATAATTAGTCATCGCACCCCCTTTTAGGGTAGAATTCAATCTGTTCTTTACCGATATGCCGTGGTGATAAACTTAGGTGTAATGGAAATGAGATTAATCCATCGGTGATTGGAGCAATCATGGCGCGTTGGGTTTTCAAACACTGGTACGAGGACCGCCAAACTCTCGTCGGATAGATTGGATTCGGCATTCCAAATAGTTTGGAATGAGAAACTTGGTTACCGAAAACGTCTTCGAAAACTTATTAAAGGGTGCTCATCCGGGCTAGACCAGGTATGGCATTTTAGAAGTCTAAACTTATTGGGGACTTCTTTCTCGGTAGGCGGTGAAATGTTTATAGGCCATGAAGCACTGCTTATGTCATGGGATGGAGGTAGTGATGTCGATGATCAAGTGAATTGCTGATGGAAGTGCTTCGCCTAGTTCCCACTCCAATCTCGTGGATTGTGGAAGGGTGACTAGTCATTTCGTATATAGTTTCACTCACGCATGATATTTTGCCACTGCTGGCACTGGTTGTTGAGAAAAGTTTGTGAGCAATACCGTAATCAATGGCTGATTTCACCACGA